ACTACTGGGGGCAAGAAGCTACTAGGAACAAAGGGCATCGCTACTAGGAGCAAGGACGCTACTAGGGGCTCCTGGCCTTACTAGGGGCAAGAACGAAGCTGATGCTCCCCAGTTTTCTGCATCAACGGACGGTCCTGAGGCACTCCGGGCATCCTAGGCGGCTCCCTGCAAGGATCGAAGCTGATGCTCTGCAGCCTCGGCAGTTCGGTTCTCGGAACCGGTTCCAATCGGTTCCAATTTAATTCTAATAGCACACATTGTTACTACTAGTAAGGCACTTGTTACTAGTAGCGATGCACTTGTTACTAGTAGTAACAAGGACCAATCGGTTCCTGTCTTCCTGTGTCTTTCTTTCCTTGTTTAATAGTGATGGCCTTCAACCTCTCTTGAGTCAAAAATACAGAAGGGGCAGGACAAACAAAACATGAGATTTTTAAATATACAGTAAAAGTGAAATGCGTAGCAATGCGTAGCAGCATGCCTTCTCATTCTCATGCCATTGAGCTGGCCCAGGGCAAATGATTCAATGATCCAACCGATATGCTGTTCAGCAACCGTCCTGTGACAACGTTCACCTAGGACAAATGACCAATAACTTCTGAGAACTGTGTTCACCTCTAGAGTGATCCATAACGAGAAGCAAAAAAATCCATCAGATGCTCTAAGGATCCTTTCCCTGTCCTTTCCCCTGGTGTCCCTGGTGCCTGCAGCTGTTGCCGAAGCTGTTCATTCTCCTCTTGCAAAGCGGCCACCGGCCGAGCCTCCTCCTTGAGTCGGTGCCGAAACCTTAACCTGCTTGCAGTGGCCTCCAACCGAGCGATGGCCTCCAACCTACTAGCAATTGCAGACCCCTTGCCAAAAGCAAGGGGTACTGGGGATGTGTTAGATAGTGAATACACACCTTCAGCCACCTGCCAGCGAGGCGCCCAACACTTCTTCCCAAAATTTGCATCATAGCCCTTGCTCATGGCGAAGTCAATGAATTCTTTGTACCTCAGAAACGCACTTCAACCAATCGGAGTCCAAACTCTTGTGGTGGTACAACTCCTACATTGCTACATCGCAGTTTGTCCGGAGCCTTGTAAGTGGCGAGTGGAGAGACGCCAAAAGTACCAAGTACAAGCGATGGCTTCCAACTTCCAACCTACTAGCAATGGCCTCCATCCTAATCGATGTTTAACGCAACTGCAAGCAAAAGACGTGTACCGATTCCCACTGTTGTCATTGGGATGGAATCGACGCTCTTCTTCTTCTTCCTCCTGACAGGCTGACCCTTCAATGGACATGAGGGACCATGAGGGACCCTTGCTACTAGTAGTAATACCTTTGTTACTAGTAGCGATGCCCTTTTACTAGTAGCTTCTTGTTCCTAGTAGTAAGGCCAGGAGCTACTAATAGCGTCCTTGCTCTTTGCCCTATGAATGATCAAAATGAGCGCAGTCAACTTTCCTGTCGCCTGACGTGACCATAGGTGGGCTCTTGTATATCCTGTGTTTTTGGGTCTGTCGTTTCCCCTAGTAGCGATGCCCTTGATTAGCTTGTTGAGGATCCCGAGATCTTCGGCACAAATCCTTGGATCGTTTGAGGTGGACGCGCTTCTTCCGCTCATCACTGAGGTCTTATCCTCTAAATACCTGGAGAGTAGGTTGGAAGCCATTACTACTAGGTTGGAGGACATCGCTACTAGTAGCAAGAAGCTACTAGGGTGGAGGCCATTGCGCTCCGCTCGCTCCGCTCACTTGCCTCTTCCCTCATCCTGAAAGGCCCACCCAATGGCTTGGGGTAGTCCTGGCCCAGGACACAGCCACCTCACAGCGCAAAGCTCAGCCGTCTACTGACTACTTCAAGGAAGCTCGCACTATTCACGTGGTTCCAATATATTTTAGGGAAAACCTCGAGTGCTAAATATCACACGTGACATGATACTCGAGCACGTCATAGTGTTTTCTCTGCCTTTCATATCCAAGCCTCTGATGAGCAGCCGTTTGTAACGGAAATTCCAACGAATGATGCTCTTGCCATTGCACGCATTTGCGGTCTTGTTTGTATGTCAGGTCTCGCCCTTCCTCCCCCTCAGCCAGGTGGCAGCGGTTCATCATCTCCTCAAATGAGAGGCAAAGGATGTCAAAGCAAATGGCCTCCAACCTACTAGCGATGGCCTCCAACCTACATTCTGTATCCAAGAATCCGGTTCCAAGACTTTACAAGACTCTGGTGTATCGCTCTGATTCGTCGCTTCCACCAGGCAATGCCAAGATCCTTCCCAAGCACTCCCGATCCCTCCATCCGGGCCATGCAGATCCCGATGCGGGAGCCCCTAGTAGCGTCCTTGTTACTACTAGTAAGGCACTTGTTACTAGAAGCGATGCACTTGTTCCTAATAGCTTCTTGTTCCTAGTAGTACGGCCAAGAGCCCCTAGTAGCGTCCTTGCTCCTAGTAGCGATGCCCTTTGTTCCTAGTAGAACATTGCTCCTAGTAGCGATGCCAGGAGCCCCGTTCGTAGCGTCCTTGTTCCTAGTAGCGATGCCAGGAGCCCCTAGTAGCGTCCTTGTTCCTAGTAGTAAGGCCAGGAGCCCCGTTCGTAGCGTCCTTGTTCCTAGTAGCGATGCCAGGAGCCCCTAGTAGCGTCCTTGTTACTACTAGTAAGGCACTTGTTACTAGAAGCGATGCACTTGTTCCTAATAGCTTCTTGCTCCTAGTAGTAAGGCCAGGAGCCCCTAGTAGCGTCCTTGCTCCTAGTAGCGATGCCAGGAGCCCCGTTCGTAGCGTCCGATCGCTCCAGTTTTCCGAGACTCTTCCGACATGGCCCAGGGCTCGTGGATGTGCTTCGCGTCCAACTTCCCGAGCTCCGGGAGCCATTTTCGCAGATACTCCCCGCTCGGGTCGTTCTTCCTGGAGAGGATCGGGGTCGTCCTTTCTTTCCACTTCCCACTAAAGTAGTAGGGATGCTCTACAGCGCGATGGGATCGAAACGAGAAATTGTTCCCTCAATATGCAGATAATGCAGCCCGAGGAATCCCAAACTCATGGCCTCCAACCTAGTAGCCATGGCCTCCAATCTAGTAGCGTCCTTGCTATTAGTAGCGATGCAGTTACTAATAGCGATGGCCTCCAACCCAAGAGCAATGGCCTCCAGCCTATCCCACCCAAGATGTGCCGCTAAAGATCTTCTCTGCGCTTAGCTTCCACTCAAACTCTTCCTGTGCCAGGGTGTGCACACTTGTTTCAGTGAATTCGCGTGAACTCTCTACCTGTATGACTATGGGTCCCGAATCCCACAAGACACGTCTTGGCCGCAAGTCCCTGTCACAGCTGTAACTTCAAGCGCGGTGGAATCTAGTCACTCGCAGAATCTACCCTGCGGTGGTGGCCGTAAAAGGATTGAATCAAGCGCAAGGCTCTGCAACTTCCGGGTGCAAAGTTGCAGAGAATGGCCCCTGGGTATTGAATAGCCGACAGCAAGAAAAGAAGGGCAACACCCTGTGAACAGCACCTCGCTTGGCAGCTTCTGATCTGATGTGAAGCCACCTAGTTTGGCGGGATTCATAGTCATTTGATGCGACTGACAGGTACTTGAACCCTCAAATCCTGCCTTCTTCCATGCAGCAAGATCCTGTACAGATTTAAAGCCATGTGCCCCGCGGCTGCTCTTGTCCACCTGAGAGTGGTAGCGGAGATGCTCACTTGCTAAATCCTCTCAAAAGCTTCATCGAACCTGTGTGCTCATTTGGTGTTCCGCATTCCTGTTCAGAATTCACCACACCAGTTGTTCAGGCATGTTTAGACTGTCAGATTTTGCACCTCTGTTCAAGCAAAAGAAGTGTCCTGCAACAGCTGGAGGTTTCTGATAGTCCTCTATATTGGCTCCATGAACCAACAACGCTTGATTCAGCTTGTCGTGTGAATGCATTCAAAAGTATGTTCTGCACACAGAACACGCAATGACGGTTCCGCACCCCTCACAACGTTTGCATGGATGGTTCACCTAGGTTGGAGGCCATCGCTATTAGGTTCCTTTTGCTACTAGGGGCTCCTGGCCTTACTTACTACCAGGAGCAAGAAGCTACTAGGAACCCGGGCATCGCTACTAGTAGCGTCCTCACCTACTTCTCACGTTCAAATCCATCCTCCAGGTGTGAGACAAAGTCGATTCCCACGATGGCGTGGTTCGCCTCTGCCACAACCACCCAGTTTCCATAGTTCATGGCCACATCATAATCCTTGGATTCGATCTGCAACCAGGGAACAAGACGCTACTAGGGGCTCCTGGCATCGCTACTAGGAGCAAGGATAGGGGCTCCTGGCCGTACTACTAGGAGCAAGAAGCTACGAACGGAGCAAATCGAAATGCAAAGGAATCGTTGCCAATCAGCCTTTATGGCAACAGAAAGACTCATGTGAATCTGAGAGTCCATAAGGACATCCTCAAAGTGAAAGGCGCCAACACGCCAGTCCTGATGCACATGTTCATCCAATAAAGAACAAAGGGTAAGAACAAAGTTGGTATAGGCGTGCCATGCGGAATCCAGAATGATCAGGCCACACACAAGCTGAGCCTCCAAAACTTATACTGCATAGCTGCATAGTTGAAACCAATTTATGTCCGTGCTTGCGAATAGCTCTCGATATAGAAGAGGATGGATGTGTTGGTGACTTTGAGCCGAACCAAGCCAAGCAACTAGGCCCAGAATAAACACAAAGTAGAAGCCAGCAGTCTTGCGACCTACCCAGGGATCCGGCTTGTTTACGATTAGTGCATGGAGCTTGTGCTCCAACCTAATAGCGATGGCCCACTAGCCATTGCCTCCATCCTGCTAGCGATAGGGTGGAGGCCATCGCTACTAGGGTGGAGGCCATTGCTATTAGGGTGGAGGTCATCGCTATTAGGGTGGAGGCCATCGCTAACTAGGGTGGAGGCCATTGCTA